TCACAAACGAGTCAACCAGAGCACAATAGAGCACCGATGAAACACACAATATTCCTCTGCTTCTTTGAGGCTTCCTCATCCCCAGCTATCATGACCCAAGTCCTGCCCTTCACTGTGGGCAAGGCCGGAGCAGATACACAGGTACAGAGAAGAGCTCAGGACACAGAATCCAGGTCAGATAAACCCCTCAGGAAGGGCCTGGCGCACGTCTGCATGGCGCGCTCCGATCCCTCTGCGGCCGGACCCCGGGTGGCGCGCCTGCCCGAGCCTCGCTGCTCGCGGCCGGAGCGCGGGCCTCTGGCCGATGAATGGGCGCGAATGCCGGGACTCGAGCAAAGTTGGGCTCCACGCGAGCCACCTGCTCCGCACACTTTAAGTGGCGCCGGGGGTGGGGCCAGCGGTGGGATGGGGCCAGGGCGCGCTCAGCCAATGGGGATGCACGGAGGGCGGGGGCGGGGCCTGGCAGCCCCACCCCTACCCCGCCCCCTGCTCTGCGACCCCGAGGCGGCCACCCAGGTCACGCCGGCCACCGGGTCACGCTGGTCACCTGGGTCACACCAGGCACCGCCAGTGACGCCGGGCATCCCCGGTTACATCGGCCATCAGGTCACACCAGCCACCGCGGTCACGACGGCCACCCTCAGCCGTGCTTCCTGCCAGGGACCCGGCCCCCACCCCCCAACCCCACCGCGTGCGCCTCCGGCCTGGGTCTGGGACCGCGCTACCGCGCGCTGAGTGTCCGGGCGGGGCGGAGATGGAGCCGGCGAGCGCGGGCAGGGACACCCGCCCGGCGCGCAAGGTGGCTTCTTCGGCGTCCATTCACAGCGGCACTGCTTCCCCTGCGGGAGCTCTGGAGACCAGTTGGGCAGACAGGCTCGAGCTTGGCTGTGGGACCTCGGACAAGTGACTCAGCTTCTCTGAGCTTCGTGTCTCACCCCAGAGTGCGGCGGGAAGCGGGCTGGTGGTGCAGTGGTTAAAGCGCACGGAACTAGAGGGCGGTGATTCAAACCCACCAGCCACTTTATAGGAGAAAGACGCAGCAGGCTGTCTGCTGCCATTAAGATGTCCCCCTTGTGTCGAGGGGATCAGGTAACAGGCATCAGAAGACCCCAAACAAACAAAAAACGTATTGTTGAGAACAAGGGGGGCCAGGAGCAGAGACCCAAAACCCATCTGTAAACAATGAGACACCCCCTCACAGAAGGGTCACAAACGAGTCAACCAGAGCACAATAGAGCACCGATGAAACACACAATATTCCTCTGCTTCTTTGAGGCTTCCTCATCCCCAGCTATCATGACCCAAGTCCTGCCCTTCACTGTGGGCAAGGCCGGAGCAGATACACAGGTACAGAGAAGAGCTCAGGACACAGAATCCAGATCAGATACTAGGAGGGTAGGGGGAAGGTGGGGAGAGAAGTGGGGAAGAAACCTCAGAAGAAGGGAGCCAGCAGTATGTGTTAAGATATGAAAGTAATAATAATTTATAATTTATTAAGGGGTCACGAGGGAAAGAGTATAAAAAGAGAAGCTGATACCAAGGGCTCAAAGGAAATAAATGTTTAGAAAATAATGATGGCAACATACGTACAAATATGCTTGATACAATTGATGTATGGATTGTTGTAAGAGCCCCCAATAAAATGATGTTAAAAAAATTGGGGGGCCTTGGAAACTCTATAGGGTAGGACTGCTCTGTTCTGTAGCATCATCATCATCAGAATCAGTGCTACAGCAAAGAGTTTGCTTTTTAGGAACCCCCGTGAGTCTGTACGAAGCCCTGGTGCATTGCTGTGATCCGCAAGGTCCGAAGTTTGAAACCACTAGCCCCTAAACGTACCATGGACTGCTAAAAGGACAAACTGATCTGTATTGGAAGAAGGAAACCCAGAGTGCTCTAGGGAGGAGAGGACAAGATTTCTGCTAGACATACTTTGGATATAGTGTCCGGAGAGACCAGGCCCTAGAGAAGGACATCATGCTTGGAAGGTCATCACCAAAGGAGGGGAAGGCCCTCAATGAGATGGACGGACACAGTGGCTGCATCCATGGGCGGAGGCACAGGAATCATTGTGAGGATGGCGCAGGACCGGGCAGTAATGCCTCCTCTTGTGCAGAGGATCCCTGTGGGTCAGAGCCACTCAATGGCATCTAACAACCGCCACAGCCTCTCTGCGGGACATAGACAGGGCTTTCTAACTCCCATGAGCAGTTAGTTTCAGAAACTCACAGGGCCATTTCTACCTTGTCCTATAGAGTCAATATGAGTCAGCATCGAATGGATGGCAGTGAGGGGGAGGTCAGTAGTTCAAACCCACCAGCCTTTCCATGGGAGAAAGAGGAGGCTCTCTGCTCCATAAAGATTTACAGCTTAGGAAACACAGAGAAGTTCCAGTTTGTCCTATGGGGTCACTGTGTGTTGGAATCAATTGAGGACAATGGATTTGGTTTTGTGTTGGTTTAAAGATGCAGTATTTAAACCCCAGGGTGCTAGCCCCAAAACCTGTGGTTTGAACTGACCAATGGCCCTGCAGGAGAAAAAGCCTAGCCATCAGCTCTGTCAAGATAACAGCCTACATTCCCACTTAATCACAGCCCTAATCTAAGAACAATTTATTCTTAAGACGTGGCCCTACTGCATACTTGCCCTCATGAAGAGATCGCTAAAGATATGGGTGCTATAGCAAAGTCTGGTGATGAAGTCAGATAGTATCTGCCTATCAGAAAGAATAGCAAAAAATCATATCTATGTGACTGAAACTGGGAGGGTGAAGTGGAGACCCAAAGCTCATCTGTAAACAATTGGACATCCCCTTAAAGAAGGGTCACA